TTAGAATTAAAAATTCTCAAAAAAAGAAAAAAAAAAAAGGTCATAAGACCGTGAGTCTTAGAATTCCCATCCCGCTATAGAATTTTGTGGTGAAAGATGATTATAACAGTAAACGATTAAAAGAAGCTTTTCGAGAGAAATTTTGGAAGGAAAAAATTAAGAAATTTTTGAAGGTACACTGCAAAAAAAAAAAAAGAGGACAGTTCTATATCTCCCATTCTACTGGACCGATTCACAAAATTCAAATTGTGTTTTTTATGTCTCGAAAGCGCGACTTTTGAAACTTAGGATATGTGTGTGTGTGATTATGGCAAAGCCTCAAAGGCTATCTGCCTAAGGGGTGGGATGCCTTCGTGGAGGACTTTCTAAGGGAAACTGTCTCGTATACACGTTACACACGAGAAAAAACCACGAAAACGCCCATGCATCCAGCCCGTTTGCGGGATTCGAAACTCAGACCGAAATATCAGTATTCAGCGTTTTTACCGCTCGGCCGCTGGTGGTCCCAACTTAGGATACGTATTCGATTTATATATAGCGTTGTTCTAACATAGGGGTTTTGACAGAAAATCGTACTTTCTGAAATAATATGCCAATTTTTCTATATTTCTCAAATTATGCCTAATTATTAAATTTTTCTATATTTCTCAAATTATGCCTAATTATTAAATTTTGTAAAATTTGGTGCAAAATTTACGGAGAAATTCAAAAGTTTATCTTGGCGTTTTTTTTTTTTTTTTCAGTTTGCGCCAAGAATAATACACTTGGCGAACATCTTAATTTATGGCAACTTATTTTTCTTTCAATTTTTATATTGTGCACGATGGGGAAAAAGTCACATCGTTCCTACTTTCAAATAATTTTAAGAAAGTGCCGTAAACCACATTTGAGGTTTTATCGCTTTCAACAAATATGCCAAAATTCAAAGCGCACCAATATATAAATTCACGTATAACTTCGAAAATTTTCAATAAAAAACTCTAATTGTTTGCAGCTATACTTAGAAATACATCTAAGATAATGCTAAACATTTTATAGGTTACAATTCAAAATTTGTTTTCGAAAAATTTATAAAAGTTATTTTAAAATGCAAATTTTAGAAATAAGTCATAAAAAATGAGCGAATTTTATTTGGAATGAAAATAAATTTTGAAATGTGAAAGGAAGAATCAAATAAGCTTAATAAAAAAAGAGAGATTATTAAATATATACTACATTCAATTAACATTGAGGAACTAAAATTTTGAGAGCTGATATTTTGAAAACTACTCGCGCGATTTTTATGAAACTTGGTAGTTTGGCATAATTTGAGTTGGAGAATCGAAATATGGCAAAAATTCCGCATGTCATTTCAGGAAAAGCCCGATTTTATGTCAAAATACTTATATATTAGAACAATGCTACATATTAATCTAATACATATCCTATGTCACATGTTCTTCGAGATATGAAAAACGGAAGTTGAATTTTGTCAATCGGTCCAGTAGAACGGAAGATATAGAACTGTCCCTCCGTTTTTTATTTATTTATTTATTTTTGCGCAGTGTACATATGTGTAAATAATTAGAAAAGATTACTTAAATGTAGGAAAATTATGCGATTATATAATAGAAATTTAAAACAAAAGTTTTTTACTAGAGTATGTCATCGTAAATAAGAATATTATTACAGTACAAAGTTCGTAATCCGGACGTCCATTATCCGGAATGATCTATAATCCGGACCTCAAAGCCACAAATTTTTTTTTGTATGCTTTACGCATGCGCGTAATGCGTTTACACATGCGCGCTTCCGATAAAGAAGTGACAGAGAGGTTATTGAAAACGAAAAAATTTCGATTGACAAGTTAGTCGGTATTCTTGATACAGCAATTACAGGACTTGAACAGTGGAACTTTGTAACTTAACAAGAAATTATGTCTGTTTATAGAATTAAAGAGAAAGTGTTAGCACAAAAAACGAAACAACTTACATTGAAACAAATGTTTAATAAAGTAAATAAATAAATATTAAGCTTTTTTTGTAAATTTTGATACCCTTTAGATCATAATTGCTCTTTATTTCATAAATTACGGTTTCCTATTTTTAATTGTATAATTTCTGCATGACATTTTACCAGATTTAAATTGATGATCTATAATCCTAAAAAAGGCCTAATCCGGAATCGCCGAAGTCCCGACGAGCCCGGATTACGAATGTTGAACTGTATTAATAAAATTTCCGTGTTTGGAGTAAAAAAAACGTATAAGGCCATGAATCTTAAAATTCCTATCTCGCTGTAAAATTGTGGCAAAAACCATTTTTAAATTCGTAAACTCATTAGGTTTCTTTGAAGCAAGAGATGAGAAAAATGAGTAATGCCCTCGCCGGGACTCGAGGCTGGAGATCTCGAATACGCGCCGAGTGTGCTATCTCTACAACACGAAGGCATGCTAAAAGGAGAGAGAAAATACAGGGTGTCTATAATTAAACAGCCTTATTTTAAAGCTGCCTATAAACTAAACCAGCGATCAGAAAATTGTAAAAATTTTAACGGACTTAAGAAAGGGATGATAATTTCTTTCAGCGAAAAACAAAATGGTTACAAATAGCGTAACCAGAGAGCATTATATTGATCAATCGTGGTGAGATAAGTAAACTGCACTGGAATGCCAAGGCTTTTATACACTCTTTGTAAAGACTACATCTCTTACGTTCCATTCCTTGTTGTTTAAATTTTTAACGTTTTACTTTTGTTCCCATGTTCATTTATTCTGATTCTTACTTTAAATGTTTGTTCTTTCTGCTTCCTTTTACGAAGTAAAAAGTAAAAGTATTATAATCGCGAAAAACTTCGGGTAGCATATTTCAGCGAAAATATCTATTTTGACAGCTATCGAATGCAACTGAACGATGTATTTGCCTGATATCCGTACGTAAGGACAGAATAAAGGAATCTTTCGCCCCTAAAAAAATTATAAAACTGATTTAAAAGGAATTCTGAAGAGAATTTATCGTGGACTGTACGCGTACGTGCATATGTATTTACGTATGTACGTATCTCGCATAACTCCAAAACGAGTAGCCTCAGAACTTTACAATTTTGTATATAGGACTGCTATAACATGTAGATGTGCTCCTCCTATTTTGGTTGCAATCGGCCGCACCAAACGTATATAAATATATGTGTATATATATATGTATATATATGTAATAATAAAATTCCATAGTTAAGAACACACTTAAAATTCTAACTGTATGTTCTTTTCATTTTTAATGGCGACGTTCTCTTATTTGAAAGTACGTGGAATTAAATCCACAGACCCGTAGTCAAGTTGTTTTTCCTGCCTATTCTACACGTACAGTTATAGAATGTTCTGGAGATATTTAAAGCGAACTGGATTGGCTGACGAGGCTGACGTCATTTCTTGGAAGCTCCGCCTTTCCAGAGGCTACAAAAGGACTCGCAAAAGGAATATCGGGGATTTTTTCTTAAATGTCATGATGCAGTAAGCTTCATACAAAAAGTTATTAGTAATTCTTTTTATTTACTCCGGATATCTGATTTTTGTAACTGCTATTTCCCCTGACCAATAATATATGGATCCTCGGGGTTTTTTTTTTTTTTTTTTTTTTCGTCTGATTATTTAAGCTACGACTAAAGCTGATACATCACATAGATATATGTAAAATATAAAAAATAGGACGGCTTTGCTCTATGCAAACCAGCAACCTTTAATTAACTTTCTGCAATTGAGGTTCTCTAGACTCTAGGGGGTAAGACTCTAGGCTGTTACATAACCGCTTCTATAAATAACGAATTCGCGCCATTTTGCGTCAGAAGCTGTGTTCTCCCTCTGCTGTCAAGATCTATCCCGCTGCTTCTCATCTGACTTTCCTTTGTTCTAATTCTATGACGCATTGAAATTAATTTATTTAGTAAAGAGTGATGATATGCCTTGAAATTGAATAAAGATGTGCAATTAACGGTTAAATTCTTCTGTGTCGTCCTTGGATTGAAAAGCTTCACTCATGTCCCGACTACTAAAATATCGCATATCTACTCTGTTACTCGGCTCAGTAATTTCAGTTTCTTTATTCTTATATGTTTGTAAATTGCGCATTTTTTTTTTCTTTAAAAATGATTCAATTACGTTGCTCTTATCTTCCGTTTAAGGTTTTTATGCCTTTCGTAAATCTGTATGCAATATTTGTAGAATTATCAACAATTTAAAATTTGTTTAAGTGCGGCTAAGCCTAATTATTTTTTCCGAAGCAGCCATATTTGTTTTCATTTGAAAAAAACAGAATAGTGAATTTTTTGCCAATCTAGAGATAGTAGGCTTCGGAACAACAAAGAAGACGCCTTCTTTTATTCTTGCGAATTAAATCATGCTTAATCCATTCTGGAATTTATTCGAGGAAATAAGTGTTTAAGATTTACTTCGTAATTTTTAATATAGATATTTTGAGTTTTTATGTATTTTTGTCTTCTCGCGAAGTGAGAACTGAATTAATTGAATGAAAAATGCGGAGTCTTCTGTGAAAAACTGTTTGTTTTCTTTTGTTTTGTTTTCTTTTTTTTGTTCTTGTTTGTTTAAATTTTTTTGTACATCATCTTAGATTTATTATAGTATTTGAACAGAACATGTGGCAACGATTAGATAATTCTTCAGATGATATAAATTTTGTGCATTCTAAGTTATAAAATGGGTGCGATGTAACGCTGTTAAGTGAACCAAGTGCTAGAGTGTCGCTATGGTAAACAAATATAGTGAATTCTAAAGAATGATTTTATTCTATTGTGGTTTATGCATTATTGACGAAGTAGATTTAATTCAGCGCAATAAAATTTAAATGAAATGCAAGAAAAATGCATATAATTTAATATTACGTACAAGGAAGTCGTGTGGTGTACACATCAGATTTTTTTATTATATATAATTTTTCTTGTGTGATACTTGAGCTGCTTTATATGTTTGGATTGATTTTTGCAATAATATGTAACAACATATTGATAAATTACACGTTTAGTCATACCTTTAATATAGCTTTATAATTTTACGAATTTGGTTACAAAAAAACATGTTCCACATGATGGCCATCATTTTCAGCTACTATGTGAAATTGCAAGATGACATGTTTCACAACTGACCGAAGTATGTGCTGTGACGTGGCGTGAAATTCTTGGTTTTAGATCAGGTAAAGTTCTTGGATTGTCACTATTTACCAGATGTTTCTAATATCCTCAAAGACAAAAATCGCATGGATTGACGTCCGGGGATTGGGGTGGCCACACATCACGAAAATGCTGGCTAATGATACATTGTTCTGTGAAATGAGGTTTAAGAACATTCGTAACACAATGTGTGGAAGAACTCTATGTTGCATGAAGATTGTGTGTGAAAGGCTCTATCGTGCTTGCAAGAGACGGAACACTTTCGTTCTTTAAGGCGATGCGTATCGCTGTTTGGTGATATTCGAACTTAAGTTTTCAAAGAAGTACGGACCAAGAATAAATGACGTAGAAAATCCACACCATAGTGTCACTTTTGGCGAATGCAATGGAACCTCTATGACAGGGCGCGGATTTTCTGATTCCCAAACTCGGTAGTTGTGAGTATTCACTGCACCGTCCAAAAGAAAATGATCTTCGTCTGTCCAGAGGATATTCCAAAGTCATTCAGAAGCGACCTCAAAGCGAGCAAGAAACTGAAATGAGAACCAAAGTTGAGCGTCAAAATCATGTGGAAGCAACCACTGCATTAATGAAGGTTTGTAAGGATAATATCGGAGGATATTCCTAGAAGATCTTATGGATAGAACGTGATCTATCCAGCGCTTCTGCTATACGCCGGACACGGGTGATAGCCTGAAAGTTTGACGAAGGCTATAAGGAAAAAAAAAAGAGGGGGACAGTTCTATATCTCTCGTTCTACTAGCTCGATTGACGAAATTCAACCTGCGTTCTTCTTGTCTCGAAACTGCGATTTAGGATATGTATTAGATTTATATACAGCATTGTTTTAATATTGGTATTTTGACACAAATCGGACTTTTTCTGAAATGACGTGCCAATTGTTTTCCATATTTAGATTTTACGACTCAAATTATGCCAAACTGCCAAGTTTTGTAAAAATCGGACGAGTAGTTTTTGAAAAATTAGCTCTCAAAATTTTAGCTTCCCATTTAGCATCTATTTTTTATTATTTAACTTATTTGATTCTTTCTGTCACATTTCGAAATTTAAGTTCATTCCAAATGAAATTCGCTCATTTTTTATGATTTATTTCTAAAATTTGTATTTTAAAATAATTTTTATAAATTTTTCGAAAACAAATTTGAATTATAACCTATAAAAGTTTTACCATCAGTTTAAAGCAGATATATTTCGAAGCGTACCTGCAGAAAATTAGAGTTTATTATTCAAAATTTTCGAAGATGTACATGAATTTATAAATTCGTGCGTTTTGAGATTTTGCATATTTGTTGAAAGCGATAAAACATCAAATGTGGTTTAGGCAGTTTGTTAAAATTATTTGAAAGTAGAAGCGATGGGACCTTTTTTCCTCGTGCACAAGGTACAAAGGTAAAAGAAAATAGGATGCCATAAATTAAGAAGTTCGCCGAGTGAATTATTCTTGGCGCAAACTGAAAAACAAATACACGAAGATACATTTTTGAATTTCTCCGTAAATTTCGCGCCAAATTTTAGAAAATTAAATATCCAGGCCTAATTTCAGTCGTAGAATTAAAACCTGGGAAAAAATTGACATGGCATTTCAGAAAAGTCAGATTTTATGTCAGAATACCCATGTTAGATTCATGCTGTATATAAATCTAATACTTATCCTAAGTCGCGCTTTCGAGACATGAAAAACGCAATTTGAATTTCGTCAATCAGCCCAGTAGAACGGGAGATATAGAACTGTCCCTTTTTTTTCTAATTCTTTCAATCTTGCTGTGTATGCTTTTAATGTTGTTATTCATGTAAAAACACATATCGATTTGCTACATTAACACATACACAGAAGTAATTAAAATGAAAATGCTCCGGATAAAACAGTTATCCTACTTAAGAGACTCGGAAACTTAAAAAGTCGTAGTATTAAGAGACTATTGGTCATTTTAAGGGGAAGTAAAATTGCTGCTGCAGAGAGAAAGAAAGAGAGAATCTGAAGTAGGGACAGAGGGTTTAGTTGTTTTGGCTTCAAGGGATGGAAAGTCGAAAAAATTTGCATTTCAAATTACGTTAGAGAAGAGGAAGGAATCTACAGCCGTAAATAATACTCGCCAGCTGAAGATGAACGCCTTACAATCCCAAAATACTTTCTGCTGTTTATAAACGAGACAAGAAAGTCGAAAACTAACTTAAGTCGTTTTATAAAGAAACATACGTTTACATGATGAACACATATTTCCGAAACATCCCTTTAAAATTTACTGATAACAAGATTGTAGTGGTTGATAAAAATTTTAAAAATCAAGCTTTATTTTCCACTAGAGGTAGGTATCCAAGATCGTGTTTAAAGAAAAGAAACTGCATTAATATTTTACTACCACTTTTGTATATTTTAATCAAAAAGATGGCGCGAATAATCAATGCATAATTTCCATATCTGAAGATTATTTAAACATGACAGAAATGAAGGGTTTTGATAAGTTGTAGTGTTTCTCCTGTTTATCTAATAACTAAGCGTGGAGGAACGTAGTGAACAGCTAAACGAATAATCGCTTAAGTTCAGTAACAAATACGTAAAACTTACGAAGGGAATGTAGGGTTTATATTTATTTTAACTAATATTTATTTTAAGTTGTCTTTCCTGTCTAGCCTTTACTTTCCCCTAGAATTGCCAATGCTAGAGTATGTAAATTGTTGTAGAGCGCGCAGTATATTCAAATTTTACAAGAAGTAAGTTGAGTTTAAATAGAAGGGAAACGAGATTGTAGGTGTGCTTGTTGAATCGCGAACGTCGCTCGGTAGAATCGCATCGAAGTCGCCCGTAGCGCCCATTCATTCAGGCAACGGCAAACCGCCCCAACGCCTCGTTTATTTTCTACCTAGTTCTTTCCCCTCCACGTTAGTGTATGGCTCATTGGTTTCGCGAGTTGTTAAAAGACATATCAATCATTCTTTTGAAGCAAATAAAGGAGAAATACGGAAAGCTATTGACGTTCGCAGGTGCAATCCGGCCCTAAGGTGAAACTGCACACAATGGATGAATGGATGAAACCGCAGAAGGGGGAAAGGAAAACTATTCCAAGACAAATTCGTAAACACGGGCGTTTTCGATGTTTGTTGAAAACAGATTTGGTCGTCTCTCGATGCGAAAGAGTTAAGAACCGCGCGTGTCGGCCTGTGTGCCTATCTCGGCAGATTTTGCTGGATCTCTCAACTGCTTAATCAGTAAGCTCGCTGAATCTCAGCGGTAATGTTAGAACGCGGTTAGGTTAGTTTAAGATCTCAGAGCCTCGTGGATAGTGATCTCGCTATTTATTCATTCAGTCATTATTTTTCATTTCTAAATTCTGTTTCAGTTAAACCGCCGGGTCGGCGTAGTGTGTGAGCGTCAAGTGGACGCAGCTGTTATTTTAAAAGTTGAATAAAAAGGGCTTTAAACCTTTCTTACGTGTCTGTGTAAATTCGCAGTTAGTAGCACACGATATTCACACGATATTACAAGTTAATTACCTTTTATTGCTCAAAATAAAGAATAACAGTCGGCCCCCTTCTCAGGGCGTACAGAAAAGCCTCCACTTGGGCTTCAACTCAAAAGTGTAAAATTAAGAACTTAACTAATGCTTAATTAAAAGAGATGTAGCTGAAGCTAACATAAATCTAACTAGTTGGCAACTAATTATCGAATTAGCGAACAGACGCTATCAGGGGCACGTTATACGGGCGAGCGTAGTAACAACTTAGAAAGATGTGGCCAAAAGGTAAGTGCGCGCTAGTTTGGAACTCTAATTCTCTCTCCTCCACAGTCAGTGGAACTTCGACTTAAATACTGCTCCTTCTCATTTGAATTAAACTCGATTATAAAACCACATTCTGGTAAGGAATTTGTAAGCTGAAATTAGGAGAGATAGGAAAGGAGCTTTACCAATTGAATGCAGAAGTCCGATTAAAAGTGAATAAAATTTATTATTGCCACAACAAATAAAACAAAATGCTTAAAGTTCCTCAGATATTCGTACCATATCGCAAAATCTTACAGTAAGTTATCTTTTAAGGGGAGTTGCAGCCCCAAAATCTTCAAAAAATTGTGATTTCGGATTTTTGCATTTTCAAATTCTCTACACTTTTATCTTTCTAAAAATATCTTTCTTTAATCTCTATGAAAATTAGAACTGTAAAAAAATCTAGTTTTAATTTGTCATCTACTGCTTTGATCAATGAGGATTTTGACATAAAAACGCGTTTTTCTTCAAACGTGATTTTTTTATACTCGATGTACCTTTTCTCAGGAACTACTGCTCACATGTATCTAAACTTTTTATGGATTATTTATTAGGTTTCCTAATATTTACTGAAATGAGCGTTTTGTAATGAACTTAGAAAAAAAAAATTTTAATTTTCTTTTGTGTGAGAAAAGTGCTAAATTTTACTATGCCTAACAAAATATCCTGTAATTTACTCTAAAATTCAAAATGCTTCAAAAGCTCATTTCAGTATAATCAGATAGGTATACTTTAATTACAGAAAAAATTTCAAGCTTGTATCTACAACAGATTGTGAGAAAAGGTACATCGAAAATGGCCAATTTAACACTGTCGGTATAGGGGTATCTGATACCCCTTCAACTACTGAAACGTTCAACAGAACTTAATTCAAAACAGCGAAAGCTAATCCTATCGGATCCTTGTATGATTAGAATTTCCTTTGAATTAAGGAATTTTTTTTTATTTTATGTTTTGTGACGAAATCGCGTCATTTTGAGACATAATGGGCTATAGGAAAGCGAGATTTTACTCTACACATTCCATTATCACATCGTCCTGAAACGTAGGCACTTAGCTATTTTACAAACTTAAAATAAATTTCGTGTTTCAATAAATCGATTCAATGCGAATTTATTTAACAAAGGGAGCTTAACACCTTTTCAACGGGATTTTTTTCTAAAAATGTTTATTTTTAAAAATGTACAGTTTATTTTTCTTTGATTTTTGGACACGTGAAGCTTCCGAGTACACTTCTCACATCTCACATCTTTAAAAATGTGATTTTGGCAACAATTTTCATGTCTTATTGTTGTTGATAGATTTTTGATGAAATCGCATCATTTTGAATAGTTTCGTTCTTTTAGAAATATGGGTTTGGTAACAATTCTGCATCGTATTTCTTATGTCACTGTTTTTAAGAGATTGGCATATTTCATTGTCATTTATATATATATATATATATGTAATGATTTCAAATGTGTAGATGAAAGCAGTGGACCTCCCAAGCTTACGATACTGCGTAGATGACCGAGAAGACCGTAGTGGCTTGATTGGGAATTCAGATGAATAGTTACCTTTTTTTATTTATCCATTCGTTAAACGATGTGAGATTAGTTGAAATAAACTGCACTGAAGTTCCACGCCTGTAGGGTCGAAAATCAGCTGCGCCAGATTATTGTAATCAAACTGTGGTTTGAAGGTGGCAGAGTGGAAAGCATGATGATGCAATTTAGCACAACATATCTTGAAAAATCACAATCTTTATTTTT